AACTAAACCCTGTGCGCATACAGAGTCAAAGCACCCTGAAATTAAGGCTCTAACCACCAAGCCTAACCATGTGGGGGGAGGCCTCTTTGTGTAGTATTCTCTAATTGCTTGGTATTGGCAACCATTTAGCTTGTATTGAACCGGCAACAAGAGCCTTAATCAAAGAGCTCCACCACTAATTACCTTACTTCCGGAAACTGAAAAAACTTGCAAGAACAAGATTTCCTAAACCCCGAACCCTGAACTTAAGTTGCAAGGGGTGCTTTCGGGGTTCCAAAATCCGGGGTTTAGGGGGTTCTGGGTTTAGGGCTCAGACTTTCCGTGAGTATGGCAACACTTGCCGCTGATATGCCTACTCTGCTCCCTAGCGGGGCCCTGGTTCGAATGCCAGCCGTAAACTAGATGCTATCCGTGATTTGGGGCTTTGCGAAAATTGGGGTACCTGATTTTAGGGTCCTTATAATAAGGATCCTACTATTAGGGTACTATATTAGGGTCCCCCTATTTTCGGAAACCCCCATTTTCGCCAAACCTACGAGCCCGAAATCTCCAAGTCCACACACTGAAAACAACTCTGGGACAAACGGGCGACCTGTTCTTGCACAGAGACGCTGCACATGTTGGTGTACGTCCTCGGAATCGATAAGAATGGGTTCTTAACAACTGGATGAGCAGAACATATTAAGAAGCCATGGAGGGTAGTTTACTACAAACTGGGACGCTTCCAGAGTCGGTGAGGGTCTAGGGCATTTTGGTTTAGCAGGTTCAGAACCTAAACAGAAATTGGGGGTCACGGCCCCAGGTTTCGAGATTTGTGCTGTGTTCGGGGTTTGACATTGAAGGCTCTCTTTAGCTATTAAGGCTTTAGGTTTAGGGGAGGGAAGGAGCAGTCTGAATTCAAAACCAGAAGCTCTGGATTTTCCAACGAACCTTCCGCAATGAGGGGACATCGGGCTATCGGACTCGACCCTTCACCCTTCACCCCAAGCGGCAAACGCCACACCCAAACCAAAGACTGTCACCCCCCAAAACCCTAAACCGTAAACCTAGAAGCTTACAAACCTCTGGAAGCCTTGCAAGCCCTGACGCCCCAAACCCTCTGCCGAAGCACCAAACCCGCAAGCCTACAATCTAAACCTTACCCTTAGGGTTTAGGGTTTAGGGCCGTCCAGAACCTCATCAGGAACCTCATGATTGGGTCCACAAGAGGTTTAGGCCCTAACTATAAGGTCCTTGGAAGCATAGGGTGATAAAGCCAAAACTTCAGACCACCCTAAACCCTAAACCCCAAACACTAAACCCTAAACCCCAAACCCTCTAAACCCTAAACCCCTAAACCCTAAACGGTTTAGGGTTTAGGCGGTTCAAGGGTTTCGAGCTCGGGGTTTCCAGACACATCCTCTTCTCAAAGCCCCTACTTAGTAAGTAGAGTTATAATCAAGGTAACCGTACTTATATCGACTTAACCCTAAACCCTAAACCCCAATTAAGGGACTTAAAGCCTTCCTTACTAAGTCCTATGATCCTCCAAATAGGCTAGGCATTAAACCAAAACTATACTTCTGACATAGTAGTTTAGGGTTTAGGGTTTAGGGTTTAGGGTTTAGGGTTTAGGGTTTAGTAATTAGAATAGAGCTGTGGGGTATTTTCTACTATTACTTTTGAAAAGGAACCCGCAAAATAGTATTGGTAATTGTTTAGGCCCTATATTACCACCGCATACAGCTGAACAGGCGAGGTGCTCAAAGATCCGCAAGCACTTTGTCGCCTGCCGCAACCGGTTGAGGATTGGGGATTCAGGGTTGTAACCGTCCCTAATACTAAGGACCCAGGTATCCAAATTTATAGTTTCAAGTACCAAGCACCTTTCAGAGCATGGAATTTGGAACCTAAAACCCTACTCTGACCCTCTGGGAACATTACAATCTCAGAATTTAGGGTCTAAGGTTGTAGGATTCGGGTTTGAGTCTTCGGGGTTTTAGAATGCTTTGAATATTTTGGATTATGCTACTACATCTCAAGAACATAGTACTAAGTCTGCGTTTTCCCACAGTCCGTGTTCAAGACCTGCAGGAGCATGGAAGCTGGTACTGCAGGGGCTTTACAAACAAGACGGTTTCGGGACTCCTCAACCAGGGTGCTGTTCGACGGCTCCTTACGGCTCTATATGGCTGGTATATGGGCCAGAAGGGCCGCATCGGTTCTGGGACTCGGGAAGTGACTTAGGGAACGGGTTTGAGGGTTTAGGATTTAGGGGCGCAGGATCTGGAATGCCAGGGATGCCTTGAGACTCTAGAGACAGTTGGGTTAGGGTGTAGGGTTCGGGGTTTAGGGTGTAGGGTTACGTGATCGAGGAATATATCTTAACACCTCCCTAAACCCGAAACCCTAAACCCTAAACCTTAAACTTTAAACCCTGAACCCTAAA